TCGATTCCACATTCAGCTCGAGGCTGGTCTATTTCAAACATGGCTCGTTTTTGTTTGAGGGTTCCCTTTTGGAGTGATTTTCAAGGAGAAACCGCCCCAGTTGGCGGGTCCGTCAGAAGAGGGTCTTAAAGGGCGCTCAATCTGGGGCCCCTTTGCTGGGACCGCTGCAGGAGAAGGCCACTCCGTCCACGTCGGAGATGTTGGCACCTGCAAGAGGCTTAGCAGCTTGCTGCTCCCTCCACTCCAACGGGTGCGTCGTTTCTTGGAGTTGATAGCCCGCTTTGCATCGCTTTTGAAGGGCAACCAAAAGGAAACCCGAAGCAATTTGGTGGAGTCCCGTTTAAAAAAAAAAATGTGGCTGCAGCTTCCTGCCTATCACGCTCAGAAGGCGAGCTTCTTGTGCGGCCACCGCGTAGTGCTTCAGGCGATGGAAGCTGGCGTTCCCCACGAGCAAAGAGTTGTTGAAGCCTCGTGCAACGCCGAGCCCTCCCTTGGCGGCTTCTCGCGGAATCACAAACATATAGCCCACCCAAATGATGTCATCAGGTCCCCTATTCAAATTAGTACTTCAGAAATCCACCCCACGATTCAATGCACGTATCCCTAAGCACGGCCAAGTCTCTTCGCATGCTTGAATTTGCATGCCGGAAGGCGAGAATACTTCATGACAAGTGTTTGAGTCGAAAGCATAAATGGCGCTGTGTGCTGCTTTCAAACGTCATGGGTGACGCTGTGCCTGACAGTATGCCGGAGTGAAAGTCAGCGATGTGCAAGCTTGAGCCTTGCAGGGAGCTTGTTTGCTTGCTTGCAAGATCTGCGTCTGCATGCAACTCCGCGCCTTCGAACATCTTGAAGGTGGGTGGCTGTCTCGTTTCTTTCCATTTCTGGGCATCACGGCCCATTTCCTTGGTGCAATGAGAACAGGCACGGCGTTTGCACTGGGAAAGACATTCAAGAGTGCTCATACTTGTTTCTATCCTGGGTGTTTAGGACCCACCCGGCCAGGCTGATGCTATGCCATATGAACCATGGTACAAGTCATGCTTCCAACAGAACATGGACCTGAGTTCGGGTTTGTGCACCAAGCTGAAATTGGTAATGCTGACCGTGACCATACTTCATGTCAGCCAAGCAGCCACTGCATTGCCGCTCGAGTTTGCCGTCCCTGTGAGAGAGAGGTGGCTGCCTGCCAGTGAACGCATAGATATTCCTTCAAGCTTACTTGCATGATGTAATATGATGTAATGGACACATAAAAATCAAACAGTCCTGCAATACCCCGCTGGTGCGTGTGTACGTGTACTTCTGCATTGCTTCGTCTCTGCTTCTTGGATGATTGGGAGGTACAAGTGGCCTAAGCGCTTTCTCGTGTCCTTTGTCTGTGCGTCTAAACTTGGAGCTGATACCCCTTTGAAACGATCAATGTTTAGAAACACCAGCCCTTTGCAACATCATTTCAACTCACCTCCGTGCACTCCTGTGCGTCAAGGCTTCGAGTGCGATAAATCATCTGTGTTTTATTCCCTGGATAGCTGAAAGATTTAGGGGTTCTATCTTCTAATAAAGAACGGAAAGTGATTTGCGAGATTGACGCCTGGGTGCTAGGGGGCGTGCAGTTTGGGGCGCTAGCGTAGGTGCTGTTTTGGGGTGCTGTTTGAGCTGCTGGTGATGGTGCGGGCGGTTTTTTTCAGGCAGGGTGCTAGGGCATGCAGTTTGGGTGCTACTACAGGTGCTGTTTTGGGGTGCTGTTTGGGGCGCTGCTTGAGGTGCTTGACTGCGCGGGCGATTTTGTAGATGCAGTCTCGGGTGCTGGCGAAGGTGCTGTTTTGGGATGCTGTTTGGGGTGCTAATTAAGGTGCTGGTGACGGCCGGGTGCTCTGGGAGTGCTGTTTGGGGGTGCTATTCCGAGTGTTCGCGCGAGCGAACACTTTGCTGACAGGGTGCTACGGGGCATGCAGCTTGCAGGTTCTGTCGCGGGTTGTTTTGGTGTGTGGTGTTTTGCTATCTGGGGTCTGTGCTGGCGCAATTCAGTGTACAGGGTCCCCTATATTACGCCTTAAAACATCAACCCAACAAAAGGAGACTCATATTAAATTGCCCTAAAAGGTGTTGTTTAAACAAACCCTGTAACTCAACCCACCACCTTGACCAGCGTACCTCGGCACACACTCACACACACACACACACGACATACACGACATACAAGCGTGCACACACACACACACAAAGAGTTAACAACACAAACACAACCAATCAGAAATATCCTTTCCGCTTTTCCTTTGAAACCACAAAGGGAGGTGAGTGTCCTTTTCGATTTGCAACCAGAAGCCATGGCTTGGTTTCCCTTTGACAGCACACACACACACAATGATAATGGCAGTTTATGGTTGGTCTTTCTTTAACACGCACACAAAGACAAACACACACACACAGACACGCAGAAACACAAACACACAGGCACAAAGAGAGAGAGAGAGAGAGAGAGTGCGAGAGAATGAGAATAAACACACACACACACACACCAAAAAACACACACACGCAAAAACACACAACAACAAACACACAAAAACACCCAAAAACACGCAAAACACACACACACACACAAAAACACAAAAAAAAACCCAAAACACACACACACACACAAAACACACAAACACACAAACACACACACACACAACAAACACACAACAAACACACAAAAACAAAACACAACACACACACACACACAAAAACACAACAAACCACACAAAACACACAAACACAAACACACACACACACACACACAGACACACACACAGACAAACACACACAGACACACACACACACACACCCACACACCCACACACCCACACACAAGCACACATACAAGCACACACACAAGCACACACACAAGCACACACAGACAAACACACACAGACACACACACACACACACACACAGACACACACACACACAGACACACACACACAGACACACACACAGACACACACAGACACACACAGACACACACAGACACACACACACACACACACAAACACAGACACAGACACAGACACAAACACAAACACAGACACACAAACACAACAACAACAAAACACCTCTCACACACGCATGCATGTGCGAGCGAAAACATTCTCGCTTTCAGACTTTACAGCACCAAGAACCCGCCTGTCATGCGGAGGTTCGCCACTTCCAAAGCTTCGCTTCCCACCTGACAGTGTGCCCTCTCGTGGAGGAAAAGATGCTGTGAAACACATGCTATCTTTCTCTGCAAGCCCACCACTGATTTCGGCTCCTGCTTGAAAACCAGTCAATCTCCAATATCTCCATGCTGCAGCTCTTCCGTTTCCATTTCGTTTGCCTGCTTCCGCTCATACGGGAGTCCCCAATTTTCTGCTCGCACCCGCACCTCCGACACAACCCGCAGGCACCGCAAGTTGGAGTGTGTCATACGCACCTGTCACGTGAGCATTGAGCTGTTACGAGCAGGAAAATAGCACTCATCTGTCGTGCCCCTCAGAAGAAACAAGGGGCCAAGAATTGGGTCAATCACATTGAACGCATTGGTTGCGAGCGCCTTGTAATCTCAGCATTTCAATTAATTTCGCCCACCTTTTCATGGAGCCTCTGAGCAGGATTCTTATAAGTCCTCTTTAAACAGCACCAAAGAAACTCAATCAACGTTCGCCTTGACAGGCTCATGGCTATATCATGATACATGTTACATTCAGACTTTGGCTCACCAAGTTTTAACATTAGCAACCGCTTGAGTTTGACAAGGAATCATTGGACACCCCCCCTTTGGTTTTTAAAGGGCAGCTAAGAGGAAATCAACCATGTTAGGGCATCGGATCAGAATTAAAAACACACACATAATACCAACCCTTTAATCTTCACCCCGAAATAAAACTCACTTTGACAGATAAGGGGGGGGAAAAAAAAAACAAAAAACAGAAGACGTCCGGCCTTCTCGGCGAGCAAGCAGCCGCCCCCGAACTTCGCAGTGCTATTCGAGATCTCCACGGTGCTGCGCGCGCAGACATGAAACCGCGTGTACTGCGAAGGGTGCGAAGGCGGTTTAAACGCTGTGTCGTGTTTGCAGGGTACCTATTTGCGGTTGGCTTCATTAAAGGGCAACCAAAAGGACACCATCTTGTTTTGTTTGTTTTTTGGGGGGGGGATCCTCAGTTTGACACATGCCCGCCCCTGAGGAAAGGGGGAAATAGGGTGGTCTGAAGCCCTGGCTTGAATGGGAAATTTGGGCGGGCCTCGGTCCTCCCCAAACCAACAATAGTCTACCAAACAAACTCTGAGGTGGTAGGACAGGACAAGTGCGACGGGCCCCGTTTTTTGGAAGGGAAGCCAAAGAATGCCAATTTGAAGGGTTCCCTTGGTAAGGCACGCGTAGTGGCTCAGGTCTCCCGCCTATTGTCCAACTGCAGCAGTGCGCCCACTGCCACAGAGCCCTTTAATCCTGTGTGGCAGCCAGAGGCAACGATGGACGAGCCTCGGAAAGATGGTAAGGCTGTCAAGGCTCAGTCACGGGAGAGTAAATCGCATCATGACGCTGGCCATATATTTGCGAATACAACACCATCACCACACTGATGTTTTGGATCCACGCGACCTGCTTCTTCCTTGCCCCATCTGGCAAAGGATCAGATGTTACCTGATTGTTGCCTTATCAGAGAGTCTCTTGACGTGTCCTGCTTGGCACAAACTCCTAAAACGGCTCTTATGAAGCGGTTGCTTGGTCAAAGGCAATTAGAGGTCCTGGGGTCAAGGTCCAATGGCGTGCTTCCTAAAGGATTGGGGCAAAAGGCTCCGAGTTCTGAGCAAGCCAAACTGGAATCTAGGGACTCCGCTAGTGGCACTGGGCTTCTTCATGGGTATGTTGATATATCCACCATTGTTGCGATCCTGCATCTGTCAAACGCCAAAACACCTCCCAGCACATTGCGTTGGAGCAGCCTTTCAGCGTTAAAGATTTCATGGCGTTGATGCATGCGCCATTCTCACCGCTGCGCGCGTCATCGATCTCCTCGGCATCAAGTGATGCGCGGCTTCTGCGTAAGTCGGGAATTGAAAATTGGCAACTCCAAGGAAGCCTTCACGCGATTTGTGCAACTGCCCTTGTGCAAAACATGCAGTTCAGCATGCACGCATTGCAGTCGAAGTGCTACTGTGGTGTTCTGTCCAATCATGACAAACACTGAGATTGCAGCACCTGGCGTGATTCTCAGCGGGAATCCCATGATACGCAAGGTGAAGAGCGCCATGCGTGATAGCTCATTCCTGTCATTTGATATTGGCCCACGTTTCATGCTCCTTCCTACTGAGCAAATAGCACATGCAATGTTGCAAAACCCAAACAAAAGAGCTACTGCCAATCTACTAGGACAGAATGTTCTTCGCAAGGACTGAATTGCAAAACGGCAGACATAGATCCTTCTGTTGTCTGTCCTCTTATCTCAGATGGCTCAAGGTCGCCCGTTCACTCTTGCCGGCAATTGAGCTGTGTAAAGTCATGTCCAAGCGTCATGGCAGCTCCCAATTCTTCCGCGTATAAACCAAAACAAATCCTCCGAATGCTACAACACGACTAAGCAACACCAAATCAGCTTCTAATGATACAACACGAACAACAAAACAAATCACGACAATCCAAAACCAACACTTCAATGCAATGCGCGTCTTCCGTCTGCTCAAGGCCCAAAATGGGGCCCGCCTTTGCATGCTGCTCCAGATGCCCGGGCTCTGGAAATGCGCAACACAGAGTCGTGGAGGACCAGGCGCCCAGCATCCACCTGGCAACCGGTCTCTCCGATTCCAGCGTGTTGAATGGGGGCCCCGGAAGCAAAACCCTGAAGCTTACAACATCTGAATAAAGGGATTCCACAAAAGGAATACCATGGTGAGCTCTAGGGGTTGACATTGATTCGGGGGTGTCCCCATTTAGTGGTTGAATCCGGATCACTTTTGGAGGGGAACACCATGGTTTTATTCATGTGGGGTTGACATTACCCTCCTTTCAGATTTCTACTGTTTTTAGAGGAAGTAATGATTGCCGCAACTGTAGAACCCATCGTCCCTAGAAGTCTCAAATCCTGTCAAATCGTCTGCGAGCCGCGCACTGAACAGCCAAGCTGCTCCTCCGGCATAGCTATTGGCGGTGGCATTGCGAATGGAAATGGAAGAATTGCTCCTCCAGGGCCAAGCACTGCCAAAGATGACATGCTGCCAGCAAGCAATCAACTCCCATTCGCTCCCCCCGTCTTTGAGACCAGGAGCCGAAGTGCCGAGATTCCGCCTGATCAAGGAACAAGCAGCGAGCAAACTTCCGGGATCGACTCTTCAGGCTGGTCTGCAGATTTGTTGTGAGGCCCATCAAACATGAGTGCGTCCTGAGAATGCCTGTCATGTGAAACATGATGTTCAATCATGCTATGGTTGATTGCTGATGCACAATTGCCGGCCTCCGTATGACGCCGCCACAGAATGCGAGATGACGATATGGGAGTTGTGCGCCAGGCGGGTCTCAGGATAACTTTTGCAGGGCTTCTACCCCAGTAGGTCTTAGGCAACAACGGCATCAACTTGTTGGTTGCTGCTGAGAGGAGTTTGAACGAAAAGCCAAATTGTGCAGCAACATGTTCCGCGGGTAATTACATCAAGCCTACAGTGTGCCTGGCCCTCAAAATAGTAAACTGCGACTGCAAACATCTAGCACCTTCCAACAAACAGGGAGCAATCAAAGTTCCCAGTCCTATTGAAAGCAGGTCAACGTGAGGCCGGGGTTCCTCTAAACAGCCAAATGCGTCACCAAATGCTGCTCGATACAGCTTCTTGAGCTTGAACCAGGCTTTTTGCGGTGGCTTTGTCAATGAGCCAAAAGCATCATTCGGCATTGGCTTCCCCTGTCTCCAAGCTCCCCGCATTTGGAGCATGGATGCTGCCGCCAGCAGTAGCAAAGGTCTGCTCCGTTACCTTCCGCTCAACACATGCATTGAATCGAACAAATACCGACCTGGCAGTGAAAGCCAAGCGATCCTCTTGCACCCTGTTTTGCATTTTCTTATGCTTGCTCGTGGGAATTGAAGCAACAGGTTGACTTACCCCAATGATGCACACGTGTAAAGAAATTCATCTCCCACGGCGTTCACTACGTTGCCAACGTTGCTTTGAGCCAGTGTCATGGATTCGTTCACAAGGCGGTGCCTGAAGAGCTGGCGACAGGTGAACACGCTCGGCCCCGCTTGAATGGCACCATTGGTTGCTGCGCACTTTCTGGTATGGAGTAATTCTTTAGTGCCAAAAAAGCTGGCGAGCCCATTGCTGAACGTTTTCCAGAGCGCTCGCCATGCGCGGTTGCAAGTTGTAAGTCGGGCTGCAGGCGTTTGGCATCTCTAGGCATGTCCACTTGCGGCCTTGCTTGCCAGGCCGGCCTAATGCAAGGCAAAACCTCCCCCTCCCCCGTTGCCAAAGGGTACAGTTTGCCGCTAGCATCTGTGAGCATATTGCTGCAGCCTTCAGGCCGGCATGTCGTGTTTTGCCTTCTGCATTTCCAGTCCCCGAGCTGCAGCAGCGGCACTACGAAGCCGCCAGTTGCGTATTGCTATGCATTGCTGCAATCCCATGGCTCGTATTGGCTGACTTGTTGCGGGCCCCAACAGCAAGTTGGCGAACAAGAATCGCTCGATGTTTTTGTCATAGCTTCCGCCATTCCAATGGCCAGCATTGTGATAACTGACACCCATCAGAAGCCACTGGCAGAAGCTGTTCTGCGGACCAAGAAAACCCTGCCTTGAGTATTATAATGGTCGCGACCCGCACTGAATTCGAAGGATGCTGGCCGCTATGCGCTTGCACAGAAGCAGCATTTGGCCAAAGCATGCATCAACCTATGTATCAAGCACTTTATCTCGCCAGGCTGCAATGGTGGAGTTGACCAAAGAGAGCTGCGACTGCGAGGACAGTGCTATAGCACCCCCATACCGCGCTTCTGATTCAAACACCTAGTCGCGCAGGCACTCAAAGCTGCTTGGATGGAGAGTTGCAAACATGAACTTGCATAGTGGGCCTAACGAGCCTGTTGGCAGTCCCCTCGTGGTCAGTTGGATCATGCTCAGCTGTGTTCACATGGGCAAGATTAATTGGGGACCCCGATGTCCAGCAATTCAGGGCTGCGGGTTTCTAGCGCCTACCCTGCCAAGAGGTTTACGTCCAGCAACCTCTCTTACATGGACACATCAGTCCGATGTCTCCAGCCTCAAGTGTGGAGTCCACCAGTTTCATGCCGCCCCTGTCGGCTCGGAGGGCCTCCGTGCCGGCAGACTTTGTAGCTGTGTTTTGCTTCCCGGAATAAAACGGTGCCTTGGCAGTTAAGCAGGATCCATTTGAGCATCTAATTGGGCTTTTGGCGACTGAACTTCTGCCAACTGTCGAGTCCACAGTTGAGTTCTGCCCAATCTTGTAGCGTTTTTCTTTATAAGGCTGCAACTTCTGGCAAGTCAACTCTCGCATGCTCGCTGACAGCTCCATCTCCAACACTAAGAGCGGCACGCCGCCATCTTTGTCCCGCTTCTTCGTGACTTGTGGCTTCCAACGGGAAGTACGAGATCCTCTCTTCAGAAACTTGGATTTGCGGCTTGCAGGTTTGGTTGTCGTCGTTGCCGTGTGAGTCTTGGGCGTTGATGATGTGGACTCAATGATCTTTTGCAGAATCGACGTCTTCCGGAAACTGAGCCTGCACAGGAGGTGGATCGGCCACAATGATGCTAATTTAACGCTTCAAGGATAGCCGCCTGGCTCCATGCAGCTGCAGTTGCTTGGCGTCGAGGCGGACACGGTAGAATTGGAACGCTCCACTAATATTGACCTCAGGTTTGCACAGTGTGTTGCAACCTATCTCTCGAGTCAAGACGGCTAGCTACCTCCCTCCTCGTGTTAGCTTTGCAGGCTCTGCACGCCCGTCAATCCATGCTCACAGCATCTCTGAGGAACTCAAGAAAACAACTCAAGGTCCTGCAGGCGGTGAGCTCTTGCATGCAAAGCTCCCATGTTCCTACCTCAATGCTGCCCGACTTACTCCTCAATCGGCCCAGCAGCGACCGCATTGACAGCGCGCACTGTGACCGTCTCCTTGTCCTTCTCGTTGGGAAGCACTCTGGCTAATCCCTGGCAAGTCATGTCATGTCAGTTTCAAACAACGAGGCTCCCTGTCAAAGGCAATGTCCAATGTTCTTTGAACATCATAGACGCCTAGACGGTGAGCTCTTGGTGGATGCAACTATCTCTTGCGCTGTCACTCTTGTCCAAATTTGGATGTGTGGCACATTGAGCAACGTCGAACACTGCCGCTGGTGCAGTTCCAATGAGGCATGTGTCTCAACATTAGATCTCCAAACTGGTTTGCTTTTGGCGCCCCCTCAAAGCCAACGAAAAAGGGGCAAGGTCTCCAAAACAAGACACACCCAAGTGGAAACAGCCTGAAGCCAGTCCACGCGGGTTTCCGTGGAATGCACCGAGTTGAAGGCTCCGAAACCGCCCGACACGTAAGCAATGGAATATGGGTTCCCACCAAGTGTCTCTTTTGATTTGGGGATCACTCGAATTTGTGGTTTTCCTTGAGTTCCCTTGAAAACCACCAAAAGGGTCCCTCGCAAAAGACAGACCCAAGACCCAACTTATCTTATGTACGTTGTGAAAGAAAAGAAACTGTGGGGTCCCTCCAACTTGCCTTACGCACGACTGCAAATTGGAAGTGAAGGCACTGATCATTCGCAAGGCCATTCAAAGCTGAAACTTCTATTAACGTGCCCACGACAAGTGTTGAAGCAAAACCGACGGGTTCTGACCGCACGACTATGAAGAATTGAGCTAGTTCCGCCTAGTTTCAAGAAGCTGTCTGGCTTCATCAGAATGCCCTGGCCCAAGTCTGGCTAAAGCATCCGATGGTGCAACCATGGTTGATACTTCCAGCATCGAGTTTCGGGGCGATCACGGCATCGAGATGCTTCTCGCCTCCTTTGGCCCCTGCAAATGGCAGCTCCTCTCGCGAAGGCGAATGCCACCAACAGGCAGTCGCACACCTCAGACGTGCATGGCAGTCAATGTGCTTGTAGAGGCTTGACTGAACAAGTGTTGCGAGTGGTGATTGGAAATCATCGACACTTGCAGCTGTGTGCACGCACACAAACAATCGAACAAACAAACAAAGAACGAAAGAAATAAAGAAATAAAGAACAAAAGAAAGAACAAGATAAAGAAAGACAGAAAGGAAGAAAGAAAGAAAGAAAACAAGAAAGCAGACAGACAGACAACAAACAAGCAAACAACCAAGCAAACCAACAAACCGGCAAACAATCAAACCAAGCAACAAAACAAAGAAACAAATAAACAAATAAACAAAGAACAAACAAACAAGCAAACAGACAGGCAGGCAAGCAGGCAGGCAGAAAAACAAACAAACACACAAACACGAAAACACACACAAACAAACAAACAAACAAACAAACAAACAAACAAACAAACAAACAAACAAACAAACAAACAAAACAAACAAACAAACAAACAAAGAGACAAGCAAGCAAGCAAGCAAGCAAGCAAGCAAGCAAGCAAGAAAGCAAGCAAGCAAGCAAGCAAGCAAGCAAGCAAGCAAGCAAGCAAGCAAGCAAGCAAGAAAGCAAGCAAGCAAGCAAGCAAGCAAGCAAGCAAGCAAGCAAGCAAGCAAGCAAGCAAGCAAGCAAGCAGACAGACAAACAGGCAGGCAGGCCAGGCAGCAAAGACGGGAAGACACGCAGAAAACACCAAGGCACATGAACCGAGCCCCTCGTTTGCAGAGGTGTGTTCAAGACTCTTCAAGACTCTGGGATTTTATTTTGTCCCAGGAGCAGTCTCCATCATCCAGGATGAGGTTGCCTGGGTGCCACGATGGCAGCCCAAAGCTAACATTCACAAGCTGCCAAGAGCAAGTCGGCTTCCTCATTCATGCACCCAAACCTACTTGTACCCCAATCTTCCTTCCTTACAGGAGTGCCAAAGCTGAAATCAATATCTTGCGAGCGTCCACCACCCAAATAACTTTGCAAGGCAAGCAGCAAGCACGAAACAAACATGAGGCGAACACCAGATTATGTCTCAAGCTTTGGCAAGACAAACATGCCGAACGTGCTCGCATTTAGATTTCAGTCGAAGGGGCAGAAGCTGCTAGCATCCACCTCTCGGCAAATCTCCTCGTCTCTGCCGAGCTCTACCTACGAAAGCGCCGGCATCTTCGGCTGTAACGCACCCTTCCATGTTCACTTGTAGCGGCGGGACCTTCAAAAACAAGTTCAACAACGGAGTGAGTGGCAGAAGGAATGTGAGGCTGTGGAATTAGCGCGGTTGAGGGGTACACAGAACCTGGCCTTCTACAATTGTGTTCTCTCCCCTCATGGTTTGCGAAGGCTGGACATTCCGCGCATGTGGCGAAACGGAACTGCCTTCGGCTGGCTCCGAGAAGGGCATCCATGGAAAGCAATTAGTCGATCTTGAAACACATCCGCAAGCAGAAAGCTACTGCAGGCTGGTTTTGGCGCTGCTGCCCCGGTCGAGCATGTCACTCAATGTTGCGCTGCTACTGCTGCTGCACAAATTGGTGAGACGGGCGAGATTCACTCCGTTCCCCCCCCCATACACACGTTTGGTGGGCAGCGCGGAAGACAGTTAAACGGACACTTCTTCTGCAGCAACATCACCGGCTCGCCTTGGGGCACATAGTCAACAGCAAACCAACTCTCTCAGCCCTCCTGCCTGGCTCTCCGGACGATATGACCAAGTGAATTCGCCTAGGACACCGACACCACTTTGCCATCCTGGTAGCCCAATAAGACGATGATGGACAATGTTTCTTTGGTTGTTTCTTCAAGTAAAGGACTGCCCTAAAACTGCTACAAAGTCTAGTCAACATCCACACAGCTTGCTTTCTTTTTGCGTTTGTGTGGGCGGAAAGAAATCAGTGCCGGGTTGCAAACCACGAGGAACAGGATCAGCCTCATGGCAAGCTCATCCTGCGGCGATGTCCCCCTCAGAGGAGAACATCGCCAGCTGGCCACTCAAGGCCTTGAGCCGAGTTGCCATATGCCGAGACCCGCTGGCACGAAAGTAGCTGCCATACTTCAGCGGCATCCAATGGAAGTCAAAAAAGAGAGTCTTTTTAGTGGTGGCTTTCCTTGTGGTTTTCCTTCAAAACGACCAAGAAGGGCTACCCTTGAAAAAGACATACCCATAAGTTCTGCTGGCAATTACCGCCAATCCATACGACGCACACAACTAGTTCACTTTGCCTTGCGGATCCTGCTGTGCAAGTCATAGTATGCAAGCCCAGTGAAGAGGGCGGAACAATACGCCCAACTCCTCGAGGCCTCGTCCATCGATGCCCTCGGACGTTTCTGCAGCGGCCTGCGGACACGTGTCCAGTTTCGTGTAGAAGGTGAGTGACATCGCGTGACCAGTTCAGTCATACTCAAAAACCGGAATCAGTCAGACAGAAGCCTTCCCAAAACCAATGCGGCTGGCTCGTTCCTTTTTAGGGACCCCCGAAATTGTGTTTGGGTTTCCCTTTAAAGCCGCCAAAAATGGGTACCCTGAAAAAAGTCTGACCCATGCACAGAACATCATCTGCCCAGGTATGGATTGGCCAAAGCCATTTGCATGAGACCTCAGGCGTGCACTCTTAGACTGCCCACTCCCGAACTTCACACTCCTCCCGTTTGAGTTGCTTCACAGGGGTCACTGGATTTCCCCTTAAGATCATGAAAATACTGGTGGTTTACATGGAAACGATCGCCAACTCGGTTTTTGCAAGGGAACATCCTATGGTCTGCTCTTTGGGGACCCCTGGCAAAGGAACTGCCACTTTTGGAGGTTCCAAAAGGAAATGGAGGAAACCCAGCCAGTCCCGCCTCTGCTGGTCAACAGCCCCCTCAAGGCCTCGCAGCATGTCGCCCACCTGACAAGTCCGCAGCGCCGTGCGATTCGGGGATTTCTCAATTCTATCTGAAGAGAAACCAAAAGGAAGCCGACCTTTCTATGGGTCCCCTATTAAACCCCCATGAGCCTTTTGGGTGGGGGGCACTCAGTACCACACCTCTGGAATCCCGCGCCAACTTGGCCGTGGGTCAAAAATAGGTACCTGAATGGCACCCTAAATGGAAACAATGACTAAAAGCCTGTGGTCACCTGGTAGTTTAATTTTGAGCCATACCCACTTTTGAACGAGTTCCATGTTGATTGTCCCTGGCAACCAGCCCGAGAATTAGGCTGCCAACTTGAACCAACGCTTAGCTCAATCAACCTTGACTTGCTCAAAACCGGGCCAGACTGTGTGCACAGGACCTCTTGGTTTCCTGGATTGCTGATCGATGCGAGTTCCATCAGGGATTCATCACCAAAGGGTTGCCAATTAAGTCTACCTTTTCTTGAGGGTACCCCTTTTTGTGACGTTGAAGGGAAACCATAGGGAAACAGAATCCATTTAGAGGGGTTCCTTAAGAAGTGACACACCCCATGAAGGCAACCAAACATTTCAAACATTGCGTCCAACCTCCGAGGCCATCCGCTGGAGCGCGGCCTCCAGCAAGCCCGCGAAAAGAAGCAAGAACCAGAAGGGCCATCCATCATGATCCGTCATGGACGCACTGGCTCGACATCATCTGTCGTAGCACACTGTTTGTATTCGTGCAAACGCAACATTCAGCAGCGCGTACTGCGTTGGACATGTCAGATTTAAACAACGCGACATACCATGAAGCATTAGCTGCGGGATGGGTTCAACTGCAATCCCCGCAGTTCCCACAGTCCCCACAGTCCCCACAGACCATGAAATCCCAGAGTCCCCGCAATCAGGACCCTCAAATGCTTCACCCATGGACTATATGGAGGGCCATCTTGGGGTGATGGTATAATGATAATACGTATGTTAAAGCTGCTTCGGAATTGAACCATGATGTAGAACCTGTCTATGGCAGTCTATGGTATACTGGCGGTTCTGTGGGTTAAACATAACTTAAAAACTTGGATACTCACTAGCTTTCTTCCTCCAGCGTTGTCAACCTTAGTGCAAGTTGCTTTGGTTTATAGACCCTGGCTAGACGGCTAGGCACCGCAATCTTCTGTCCTCTCATGTCCACAGGAAAGGGATAAACGCTCAAACCCCAAACCAAGCACAATATATGATAGAATTACAGAGCTCGTACATGCAACTTGCGCTGTCACCGCTGGAGACTAGTGCGAAACATCATTTGAAAAGCCCGCCTCAGCACCTGCCAACGTTGCAAAGGGAGGCGGAGGCGTATCAACCTTAGATACAACAGGCAGCTTCGCCGCCCTTGCGAGGTGCACAAGTTCACTTCTGCAATGGTCCGAACTCGATCCTTCAATCACTCCACTCTTTCTCAAGAATAGTCATGCCTGCGACTGCTAGGAGTTTGTCTAGATGGCGGACCGCGCTGTTGGTTGGCTTTTCAATCTGAAATCCACATGAAGTGAACAACTTTAATATTGTCTTCGAGTTTCTCAGCGGCTTGCGGAGACTTCCAAATAAGCTGCTCCTTCTGGGGACATCACCAGCTCCGGATGTGGCTGCGGAGGCGGTGTGAGCTCCACGGAAGGTTCTCGCCCTGGTGTCAAGCATCGATTGCAGCTGCAGCGCTATTCCCGAACACAACTGTATTGGCCAAAAAGCTCTTGGCCAAACACCTGCAAATTCATCCATTGCATGGAACCGTGGGAAAACTGCATTTAAAAAAAAAGAAGAAGAAAAGAAACGGGCGCTCCCGGTACACGCCTAGCGCCGCAGGCGAAGCCTAGCCGGGCTTGCTGGACCGAGGGCAACAGGCTGCTGTTGTGCATCTAGATCTAGCAGAATGGGATTTCGACATGCACCGAACCAAGGCAAAGCATAGCTCGCCTCCGCGCCCTGTAGACCATGCGCATCGCATCTGGCTGGAGGTGCCAACCTGTGCAAAGCGCAATATTCCAAGCTGAGCGAGACCGTGCTATTTGTCAGTTTAGGGCAATATAGGGCAACATACTGTACATGTAACAACTTCTCACAATCCTGACATGAATCCTCTCTCGCCCCAAAGCGTGCGAACTCTTTCAGTGATTCAGGCTCCCACTCCCGCGTCTCGCCTCAGCGCAAGAGTGTGTCACTGACCGGTGAGCCCGACGCAAGGGATCCAGGCTGGGCGCCAGAACTTCAAGGACCTTGCGAGGCGATCAGAACTCCATCTGTCTGAGCGGATTCATGTCCAACCTCTTTTGGGGTTCCCAACATGTCATGATTTGCAGTGTCATATCATTTTGCTTATGCCACCAGCTTCCTCCAACTTCCGCCACCTTACGCTCGTTGAGTTTCTCCTTTCGCGGCACATGTGGAGGTCTTGCTTATTCCGCCACCAGCTTGCGCCACCTTGAGCGCGTGGAGTTTTTGCTTGTGCACAGGTTGATATGACACGATTCCCTACTTGTGCTAAACATGTACACTGAGGTTTTGGACGCCGCTCAGGCTACGGGCAAAGTGCGAATCCCAGCCAACTCCTCTGCACGAGAGGGCCCACGCCTCCTGTGGTCGTGGGCGCATAGGTGGCGCGGACAAGATCTCCCCCAGGAGCTCGCCGGTCTGCAATGGCTTTGTTGCAGGCTCACTTGGTTATGAATTTTCACTGGGCATTCTCTGGTGGACATCATTTAGGTGGGATTCATGTCCACCACTAGCAAAATTCATAGCATGTTACTGCTGGACTTGAGACAAGCTGGCTTAGGTTTGTCTCACTTAGGAATCCCTCATAAGCCTTTCAGCTGCCAGGCTGAGCTCGAGATGTCACTGGCACACTGGGTTGCGCGCTGAGTGTGACACAAGGCCGAACAGCCTCGCAGAAAGTCGGCGGCAGTGCAAGCGTATCAAACGGTCCTAACTCCTAGCTTGATGACCTTGATTGGCGGCAGGATACAAATGTTCAATGTGAATCGAATGGTACACAGTCGAAGTGTAACTTGTCATACCCGTGCGAGCTGTGCAAAGTTGCTCGCCACAAGGCTGCTAATTCCAATGCAGTGGTGTGCGGAATGCTGTCAACCACATGCACCAGCTCTGAAAGGTAACCGTTTTTGCGACAGGACAAGCATTGCATCTTTCGACGCCAGTCAGTTTATTGCCTGATATGCTTGCCTCATAAAACCATGGGGGGTCGCGGGCTGGTCCCCCCCCCAACATGGCCAAAACGTGGCCAACTCGAACGTCAATTCGAACGCCAGGTTCGGCTGGCACCTTGCCGCGGCAGTCGTCCATGGCACCTGCTTGGAGAGCCGGATCAGCACCTCGCGAGAGCCTTTGGCTCCTCGAATGGGTCTGTCTTGTTTTGGGGGAACCTTGTTTCGGTTGGTTTTAAAGGGAAACCAAAAGAAACACCACAATATTTTGGGGTTCCCTCATGTTGACACTGTCGGTTCCAAAGTCGGTTGGCGGCTCCATCCAACCAACCAACCAACCCACCTACCCGCCATTCCCACCCACCCACCAACCATCAAGCCAGCCAGCCAACCATCCAGCCATCCTTGGCGGCTCCAACCAGCCAACGTCGGCCAGCCATCGAAATGGAATCAAAGTGCCTCCTTGGTGGCCTCGAAGCCCATGAGGAGCTGAAGCCTTGGCAATTGGACCATCGAGGGATGCCATGTTTTCTGCCACGAAGAACACACAAACTATAAGTGTGGCCCTGAAAACCCGCAGCCGACTCGCTCTCTGAACTGGCGGCATCGGATCAAGAGAAGGACGCTGCCAATGGTTGTTGGCCACAAGCAGCAGTTTGCAATTATTGCGGCCCAGCGAGGCGGTGTTGCTTGCAGGCGCGTGATTTGGGCGCGACTCTTAGCACTGCCAAAAATCTGACACTTGAGGCCCACGAATACCCCGGTTTGCATCAAGCAGGCGGGGTTTTGGCCACAAGTGACCGACAAACGCAAACCTCGACGCTTCCATTTATTGCGGCTGCGTGGGAGCCGGCGTCCCGTCTCATGCTTCTGTTGTGCGTCTTTGTGCGGGCGCGGGTACGGGTGCGTGCGCGAGTTTGTCAGTGTTTGTGTGTGTGTGTAAGTGTGCCTGTGTGTTTTTTGTGTTCTATTTTGCTTCGTTGTGCGCGTGTGCGCGCGTGTTGTGTTGTGTTGTGTTGTGTTGTGTTGTGTTGTGTTGTGTTGTGTTGTGTTGTGGTGCGGTGTGGTGCGGCGCAGTGCGGTGCGGCGCGGCGCGGCGCGGCGCGTGCGTGCGTGCGTGCGTGCGTGCGTGCGTGTGTGTGTGTGTGTGTGGTGTTTGGTTGTGTGTCAGTGTGTGTCAGTGTGTTTCAGTGTCTTTCAGAGTGAGTGTGTGAGTGTGTGAGTGTGTGAGTGAGTGTGAGTGTGAGTGTGAGTGTGAGTGTGAGTGTGAATGTGAGTGTGAGTGTGAGTGTGAGTGTGAGTGTGAGCGTGAGCGTGAGCGTGAGGAGGGTGAGGGTGAATGTGAGTGTGAGTGTGAGCGTGAGCGTGAGGAGGGTGAGGGTGAGGGTGAGGGTGAGGGTGAGTGTGAGTGTGAGAGTGAGAGTGAGAGTGAGTGAGTGAGTCACTGAGTGAGTGAGTGCGTGAGTGTGTGTGTGTGTGTGTGTGTCTGTGTGTGTCTGTGTGTGTTTGTGTCTGCTTGTGTGTCTGTGTGTGTGTGTGTGTGTCTGTGTGTGTGTGTGTCTGTGTGTGTCTGTGTGTGTGTCTGTGTGTGTGTGTGTCTGTGTGTGTGTCTGTGTGTGTATGTCTGTGTGTGTGTGCGTGGGTGGGTGGGTGGGTTGGTGTGTGGTGTGTGTGTGTGTGTGCGTGTGTGTGCGTGCGCGTGCGCGTGCGCGCCTGCGTGCGTGCGTGCGTGCGTGCGTGGCGTGGCGTGGCCTGGCGTGGCGTGGCGTGGCGTGGCGTGGCGTGGCGTTGCGTCGCGTTGCGTTGTCGTGCCGTGCCGTGCCGTGCCGCGCCGCCGGCCGGGCCGTGCCGTGCTTTGCGGTGCCGTGCGGCGCCGTGCCGTGCCGTACCGTGCCGTGCGTGCGATGTGCGGTGCGCGGTGCGGTGCGCGGCGCAGTGCGTGCGTGCGTGTGTGTGTGTGTGCGCAGCGTGTGCGTGTGCGCGTGCGTGTGCGTGTGCGTGTGCGTGCGTGCGTGCGTGTGCGTGTGCGTGTGCGTGTGCGCGTGCGTATCGCCGTCTTGTCGTGCGTGCGCGTGTGCGCGTGTGCGCGTGTGCGCGTGCGCGCGTGTGCGCGTGTGCGCGTGTGCGCGTGCGTGCGTGCGTGCGTGCGTGCGTGCGTGCGTGGGTGGGTGTGTGTGTGTGTGTGTGTGTGTGTGTGTGTGTGTGTCTGTGTGTCTGTGTCTGTGTGTCTGTGTGTCTGTGTGTGCGTGTGCGTGCGTGCGTGCGTGCGTGTGTGCGTGTGTGCGTTTGTGCGTGTGCGTGTGTGCGTGTGTGCGTGTGTGCGTGTGTGCGTGCGCGCGTGCGGGTGCGTGTGCGTGTGCGTGTGCGTGTGCGTGTGGGTGTGGGTGTGGGTGTGGGTGTGGGTGTGGGTGTGGGTGTGGGTGTGGGTGTGGGTGTGGGTGTGTGTGTATGTGTGTGTGTGTGTGTGTCTGTCTCTACGTGCCTGTCTGTGTCAATTAAGTGTCTGTGTGTGTGCATATCTGTGCGTCTCTGTGTGTGTGGCTCTGGGGCGTAATTTTGTGTTGCTGCTTGTTTGCCTTGTTGCTGCGCTTCTGTTGAAGTTGCTGCCGGGTCTTGGTCCCTGCTTTGACCAGGAAAGATGGACAGAACGCAAGTCCTGAAAACATGTTGTTGGAAACCTGTGCCCACAGGGATTCCTCCATCACCAGTGTGTCGCTTCGTAAACAAGCCAGCTCTGGGAAGCAGTAAGTTGTAAAATATATGCTGCTGTTGCTCTTCAAGGCCCGGCATCCATTCTGCCAGGAGTGGCCAGAGTAACATTGCACGCTCTCCTCATTGTTCGGCGGCCAAATTCGGTTGGTTCTACCAAGTGAAGCCATGAGCCAACAAGCGGCTGGAGTCACGAGACATCCCTCCTTGGCTCAGCTGCAGGTGATAGTTTGCCCTGAGATTGTCACCATAGCACGCCCAGGGAGTACATGTCGAAGGAGTGGTTTGGCCTCGCATTTCTTGAATCCAAGTCAAGCTTGCAGTAAGTTGGCAACAATTACTCTTGAAATGGATCAATGCCAGCGGTAATCCAGGAATTCGAGGCCAACTAATATAACTTGTGGCTTTCATGCCAGTCTGCACCAGCAAACAGCAAGTATGTGAAAAGGGAAGGCTGATGCAAAGTCTGGCTCCTCTTTGAGGCTCTGACAATTCAAAGTTCAGCCCTTGGCTCCCCACCTGCGTGTGGGGCGAACTATGGAGACACCATACAAAAAAGTGTGTTGAGCTTCGAGCTTCTCATGGACATGCAAGGCCAAAGAAGAGAGATTGCAAATCTCATGGTCGCAATGGATTTGGCTGCCAAGGTTATCGCATGTTAATATGTTTGTGCAATAGATAGCAACCTCTCTAGCTTTAAATCGCCAAGCTGCTGCTTGCGGGTGCCAAGCGAGTTGCAGTCCCTGCCGTTGAAAGGGTCAGACTGCAAGAAAAGTTTTGTGTGAGAGTGCGCGTGTGTCCTACTCTTCCAATCCTTTGCATGTGGGAAAAAGGCAGTGTCTTTTGCAGCCACCCCTGAACATGAAGAGGACCAACAAAAACGAACAAACATGCCAAGAACCGTGAAGGTGTACCAACTTTTAGGCCAGTGGCCACATGAGATTGATGGCAAAAGCAAGCTGCTACAGATTTCATTTTTCGAGCTATTTCCATGAAGCAATGCAATGACGCTCCAGGAGAGGTCTGTCAGCAGGGTTGCTCCATGGCACAAGGGAAAAACACGTTGGTCCCTGGTAAAGGAAAGTTGACCGGAACCAAAGAAACTTTCTACCTGTGTTGGTCATCATTTCGAGGCTCGGAGCATCCCTGGTAAACCTCAGGAAAATGGGCATGCTGAGCATCGCTATGATGGGTTCTGTCGGCACCAGACTTTCAACAGCATTCCATCGTGCAGGATGGCAATGCGCCACTGATGATTGAAGCTCTGGGTCTGGCCAACGTGTCCTGAAAGCACAGTGTTTGAGTGTGTGCGCGTCTGTATTATTATGTTTTGTTTGCTCCTGCATGTGTGCATGGTCAGGTCTACACGTCGTGTTGGCTTGAATCTGCATATCAGTTCTGCAAATGTTTGCTGTGTGAGGATGTGTATGTGTATGTGCATGTGTATGCAAATGCGTATGCGCGTGTGTGTGTGTGTGTCATGTGTGGGTGTGGGTGTGGGTGTGGGTGTGCGCGTGTGTGCGTGTGTGCGTGTGTGCGTGTGTGCGTGTGTGCGTGTGTGGGTGTGTGGGTGTGTGGGCGTGTGGGTGTGTGGGTGTGTGTGTGTGTGTGCGTGTTTTTGTGTGTGTGTGTGTGCGAATGCTTGTGCGCTTGTGCGCGCGTGCGCGTGCGCCTGCGCGTGCACGTGCGCATGGGCGTGTGCGTGTGCGTGTGCGCCTGCGCGTGCGGGTGTGCGCGCAGGTGCGTGTGCGCTTGCACGTGCGCGTGCGGGTGCGTGCGCGTAGGCGTGCGCGCGTGCAGCGCGGCGCGTGCGTGCGGGCGTGCAGGCGGGCGTGCGAGCGTGTGCGCGCGCGGGCGGGCGTGCGGGCGTGCGTGCTGTCGTGTGTGTGTGTGTGTGTGCGTGCGTGTGTGTGCGTGTGTGCGCGCGTGCGCGGGTGTGGGTGTGTTTGTGTGTTTGTGTGTTTGCGCGTGCGGGCATGTTGGTGTGTTGGTGTGTTGGTGTGTTGGTGTGTTGGTGTGTTTGTGTGTGTTGGTGTGTTGGTGCTTTTGTGCTTTTGTGTGTGTGTGTGTGTGTTTTGCGTGTGTGTGTTTTTGTGTGCGCATGTGCGTGTGCGTGTGCTCGGGCTTGTGTGTGTGTGTGCGCGAGCGTGCGAGAGAGTGTGTGTGTGATTTTGTATCGTGTGTGCTGTGTGTGGTATGTGTGTGAAGTGTGTGTGTGTGGTGTGTGTGTGTGTGGTGTGGTGCGGTGCAGGGTGGTGTGGTGTGTGTGTGTGTGTGTGTGCGCGGTGTGCGTGTGTGTGTGTGTGTGTGTGGTGTGTCTGTGTGTGTGGTGGGTGTGTGTGGGCGTGTGCATGTGGGGTGTGTGGATGTGCCTGTGCGTGGGCGTGGGCGTGTGCGTGGGCGTGCGCCTGCGCGTGCGCCTGTGCGTGCGCGTGTGCGTGCGCGTGGGTGTGGGGTTGGGGGTGGCTTGTGTGTGTGTGTGTGTCTGTGTGTGTGTGTGCGTCTGTGTTTGTGTGCGTGCCGGCAAGCTTGGGTTGGCGGGCGCGTGGTTGAAAGGGTGCGTGCGGGGGTGCAAGTGTGCGAGCGTGGGTGTGTGGGTGTGTGTGTGTGTGCCGTGTGTGTCGTGTACGTGTTGGCAGTGTGTCGGGTATGGTTGCAGCAAACTCGAATATTAAGCAATAAGCGACAATTGACTGGCAAAAAAACTCTTCTATGTACCAGCATCCTTTGCGCTATGTTGAACAAGCAAAAACACGCAGAGCAGCTTGAAGCAAGGACTAACTTAACTCGGCGTTTACCCAGCAAACTGTTCCGAACTGAAGCGCGCATCAAAGCAGTAATATACACACAATAACCATCTACAACCGCCTGGTGAAGCCGGGTCCTTCGTCACCGTGCTGCTGCAATAGCATGAAGCACGGCTTTTCCTACCTGCTGCGAGCATATCAGGTGGTAGCAACGTGGGCCCTGCAACCATCAGACTGTGAATTTATACGTGGCTTTTCAAACAATACACCAGCTCGATGAATGTCATTCTGCCACGTCAAGGGCCACCGCGAAATACGATGAGACAGAAGTGGCTCTATCCCTCTCTCTTTCTTCTCCCCCTCAACATTTCCGCAAATCTCTCCGCAATTAGGCTTCATGACCGTTGCCCGACACTTGCATGTTCGTAGGGTCGCTTGGTTGATTGGAATTTGGAGCGCACATGATTTAAAAACAAATATGGCACGCACATGCCCAGCCTTCTGTCCACTCCGCTTGCGCCCAGACTTGTTGAGCAGCAAAGCAGCAGCCATGGGTCGCGCCTGATGGACCCGATTGGCCGTGAAACTTCAAGCTGTATAGCAAGGTGAAAACGGGCGCCCAACCAAAACACACACACACAGAGAGACACACCCCCACATCAAACCTTCTGAAACAAGGCCCCTAACATTTGTCTGGCGGTTTGGCTATGAGATGCACACAATACTGGCCATGTCTCCAATTGAGGGGACCCCCAAACTCGCAACAGTTTCCTTTTGGCCAAAAAGGGCACCGTTAAAAGCGACCCAAATTCCATCTCCAGCCCTCTCAAGCGCTCCGGATGAGCGCTCGATATCGAGCGCCCGGCCCCGGGCAAACGCAGCATGAAGGACCCCGTCTGGGAGAGGTGGCCCCAAGCCTCCGAGTCATCGGTTGCCGCGTGCTTTTCCGTTTTTCAGGGGTCACAAACGTCCAAAAAGGCGCAGGGAGCGTGAAGAAAGCCAGTCGGATCGGAGTCCAGAAAGACTACTGCAGAATATGTCAGAATATGGCTAAACGCTCTGGTCTGGGCGGTCAAAAAGACCGACTTTTGGAAGTATGAGGGCACCGCCGGTTGAAAACAGTCTCCAAGAGTATTAATAGTTGTCGACTACAATACTTGGTAGTCTATACTCGGATTCCATTGATTCATCTTCACAGCTTCATCTCCTGGTACGATTCATCTAAAAAGAGCCGCTTCAAGCGGCCCCAGAATGATTGGTTTCCTTTTGGCTGCCCTTCCAAACCAACCAAAAGATGTACCCTCAAAAAATGGCACATCTATCGGGCGGAGGTAGCTTCTGATCGGCACTTCAGGCCAACCCAGCATTCCGTGCCTGGCTAGGAGGCCGCTCCCCCAGGAAGCTTTCCACTGAGTGCATCGCCTGACGCTGGGAACAGAAGCTTTCGCCAGGTTGCCATGATGTGCCCTGAGAGGAACTCTGCAACACCGCGGATCTTCTTTTGCTGCATGGACACAAGCTGCTAGGGCACTGCGCAAAGAGCGTGCAGTATCATCTCGCGATCTTCCGACCGTTGGACGGTAAGATCATAGGCAAGACACGGCGGCGTGATGCCACAAAAACAGAGCGTTTCTTAACTGTCATTGGTCCCTTTCCCATGCGCCAAAGCTTTGCACTCAACGTGGAAGTGGGCCGCAGACATTTAGGGAGCCCACGTTACATGCAAAATCCACAAGGTGTCCGATGCCGCGCGTTGGTGATTCAGTGTCCTCCCCCATCCCAGCCTGCTCACCAAGGTCTGTCACCTGAGGTCAATCACCGAAAGATGGGCTCACTCCACAAATGACCAAGCCCGGTTCATGCTTGTTCTTAGCTGCAACCAGCACTCGGACATCATATTATAATATGTTGCTCTCCTGAAAGATCAAGGGTGTGTATGGGTGTGTATGTGCTATATATATATGTATATGATATGTATTTGTCTTGTTTTGACGACAGCTTTTGGAAAGCAAGCTATTGTCGTGCTGCCACACATCGCCTGTTGTCATCTGCTGTGTTTGACATGTGTCATCACTTGATGTAGACATACTCCTTCAATATGTCGAGGCCTAGTTGTGTAGGATGTATGGCACCGTCAACCAAAGAATGCCTGCAAGAATTGGTCATGTCCTCTCTGGGTTGCTATGGCCCCTGCAAAGATAGCTCTGTTCTGCTAGTTGTTTGACTTGAATTTCAACATGAAGGGTTAAGGGCCAAGGCAAAAAGCAACCCAAGTTGGTGATTATCAACTGCGATCACTGTAATTCGGCAACAATGACCCTACCAAGGAGAACAATTCTGGCATGGTCGCATGCCAAAGGGCTTGCTTACATCCAATGGCTTGAGCAATCCCAGCTGATCGCTTCACTATTTTAACTGTAGCCGGGCTGATCTTGTGCCGTGTGGCTGTCCTGTATCTCCTCTCTTTCCTACGGCAGCTCAGATTTGGGTGTCTTTTTTTGAGGGTGTCCCTTTTCGGGAAACGGCAAAACCTGTTTCTTTTTGTGCTTGTCTCCAAATTGGGACCCCCCACCAAATTGGGGGGGGGAAGGAGGGCCCAATTTGGAGACAACCCCAGTTCCTCTTTTGAATCGGCTTACCATTCCTAACAGCTGCCAGCTGGGCGTCTGGCCAGCTGCACACCCAAGCCAAAGTCCTTGAACTCCTCAGAGAAGCGCCGTTCCGGTTGGCTCAGCCCCGGGCCCCGAACAACTCCCCCGGGAGCGGGGGATGTAATTCCCTTTGCATGGTGGCTATCGCGTTAAGCGATGGTGGAAACCATCTAGCGTAAACAAAGGTCGTGTCATTCGCGTCGAGACAGCAGCACAGAGTGTGAAGCCCTTTCCAGTAGCCGGCCCCTGACTGAATGGGACCAAATGAAACATATCGGACCACACGGGACCAAATGAAAGAATATCGGAACAAATGGGACCAAATGAAACCAAATGGGGCGAAGGGCCAAGTGCAGCTGGGGTGTGTAGCACTTTACATGTTGACGCTGATTTGAAGTGTCGCGCCTCCAGCGACAGCACGTGCTGAAGCTCTTCGGATAACTCCTCGCCACAACAAACGAGGGCGCACGAGGGCACTTGATTTGTCACCGCTTCAGCCGGGGCAACCAGCCCCCAAGGCGGCATGTACGCCAGGGCCAGGAAACTAAGAAAACGCCTCAGCCAAAGTTTGCTGCACTTCCATGGGGCCAGAAGAAAACGGGCCAACGAGTACTCAGACAGCAACAAGACTCAACCAAGGGGGTTCTCCTCTATTCCTTCTCCAGGCTCGGAGCCAAGGCGGCTGCGCAGTGCATCCTGAAGCAGCGCCCGGGTTTGTGGCGTGAGAGAGACTTGGATGATGTTGTGACGTCCGCGTCAAGTTGCTGAAGTCCGGCTGCTAGTCTTGGTCTGTGGCTCTCTGACCGGAAAACGCCTGTTGTCCCTTTTGCGCCGGCCTGAGGCGGCTGGTACGCTGCCAGCAGTGCGCAGCAGGACCGGGCGGTGGCAAAGGACTGGAGCCCGGGGAGCTGCTTCTGGGACCTCGGGTCGCGGAGCGACGGATGGACTACCGCAGGTTTCCCCTGGAAAAAAAAAAACACCCGTTGAACGGCAGAGAAAGGATGTCGCGGCGCACCCAAGGCCAGAAAATGTCAAGGCGGCTCAAGGCTGAAGGGAAAGGCAATGCAGGCCACATGTAAGCCCCCGCTTGTCTGCATGATCCACTTTCACAACCCTGTCCCTTCCTTCTCGGTCTCTCTCGTCCTTCCAGTGCCATGCGTGGTTTGTTTCATGTGAGTTTCCCCTTGCGTTCTGGTGCATGGTGGAACCAGAACTAAGATGAAGCGCCAGTAAGCTTTTGCGCTGTGTGCGACTTGGGGATAAATGTTCTTGCTCCCTATCCAATGGACCGTGAGATGCATAGCTTCCGAAGGAAACGCTTGAGGCCGGATGTGCGTTTGCTATACCGGCAGGCTTGGCGGAACAGCCCTCAGCACATTCACCGGTAACTTGACCCTGTGGTGTTCCACATCAGCCCTTCGAATGGTTCCAAACACCCGGATACTGTGCAGTTTGCTTGACGCGTGCAAACACATAAGCTATCGTAAGCTGGACCGACAAATACAGTATAGGGCTCGTGGTTGCCAGGCTTCCATCCCTCGAAGTAAATTGATTGAGCAGGAATCATGCTGCACACACTCTTCTGGCATACAACAAAAGCAGTTCACAGACAAACATTGCAAGCGAAAAGCCGATCTACGAGGGTGTGGCAAAGGTCCAACTTTGCCAGAGCGGGCTCTTTGCTTGCTCAATGGAAATGCCAAGCACCGCGCAATGCGGTTTGGTGGTCCAAAGTGGCATCGGTGAACACCGACCTGCCGAATGCAAGCTCTTGGCTGTCTTTTTTTGAGGGCACCCGGTTTTGGTTGGTTTTTGAAGGGAAACTAAGAACAAAAACACATTCCCTTTTTTGGGTGAGGGGCCTGTAAACAAGACACACCCTCATATTGCAGATGGTTGCAAAAACAAGCACAAGCAGCCCCTCTCGCTCTAGCACGTGACCATCGCTTCGAGGGCGGACATAAAACTATGCCACTGACCGGAAACCTTGCCCCGAATGGCAAATACCTTGGAGCTCCCAATGGAATCCAAGGACAGCATCGCTACTCCTCCAAAAGGACATGGATAAATTTGTTGGCCCCCTCAGGTGAGAAATGAGCTGATTCCCCCACATCCTTGCAGATCCACCATTTAGGAGTGGTTGCACGTGTTCATTTTCTGCCATCATACGGGAAACGGCTCGGCTGGATCCTTTGGATACCAGGTACACAGGCGCCTCCACGTGACATAGAAAATTGCGTCCCATCTGAGCTGGAACTGGCAGCACCGTCCACAAGTGCAGCGGACATATCTCCAGGATGCCACGCACAACGCTCTGTTCTGCGAATCCGGGTATTCTGCCAGGCTTACTGGTGCAAAGCCTCTCCTTCCAAAACGGAAGAGGTGGCATGAAAAACATACATCAGTGGCAAGCTGTCGGTCTGAAACCATTTGAGATGGAGATGCCAAATGTCCAAATAGATGTCCAATCAACATTCCTAGCTACTGATGAATTTTAAGAGCACAGCGCCCAAGTGGGCCGCTCGAAATTCAAGGCAAAAACTTCTCGGCAAAAAAACTTGTGCAGAGCACTCTCGGGATCTCCAGACATTCACGCCTTGAGAGCGCCCCGTAAACTAAGTCGAACCTGATAGAAGGTTCCTTGCTGCCCAAGCAGAAATTCATAAGTGCACCGGCCAATAACCAATCACGGTGCCAACCTCACAGTGCCACAAGCAGCCGGGTGCCGTCCGCGATGTATCCGAGCGTGTTCACCTTGCTAGTGCAAAGCATCCGACGCTGGTATGGCTGCAGCCAACAAGGCGACCAATCAATCAAGCAACCAAACAACCAAACAAACTAACATAAACAAACCACCCACCCACCCACCCACCCGCCCACCCACCCACCCAAGCAGCCAGGCAAGCAAACAAGCAAGCTAGGAAGAAAGCAAGCCAGGAAGCACGCAAGAAGGGCAAGCAAGGTAGCAAGAAAGGCAGGCAAGCAAGCAAGCAACCAAGCAAGCAAGCAAGGTAAGCAAGGCAAGCAACCAAGCAAGGAAGCAAAGAAAAGCTTGCATGTGCCAATTACATATGTACACAAAGATAATGTGGCTATGGTTTTTTGGGGGGTCTGTAAAGCGCGACGCGCCGCGAATCTTGTTACGGAGGTCTGTAACGGAGGTCCTTGTTACGCAGGTCTGTAACGGGAACAAACTTCTTGACAGCAGTATCAGTAGCACAGTGTAGCGCAGAACAACGAAGAGCAGCAGCTCTTGCTCGAAAGTCGTACAGTACAAGCGCAGTACACAAAGCACGCCTCCTAGCTTGAAACTTGCAACTGCCGACGCAAGCCAAGCGATGGCAAGAAGGGGGCCGGTGGCGCGAAGTTGGGTCTGTAACGGGGTATGTAACGGCTATGTAACTAGGTCTGTAACTAGGCAAAGCAAAGCGCAGCACGCAAAGCGCGCCTCCGTAGCACCAGCTTGATTGCCGCTGTTCAACGCAAGCCAAGCTGCGGCAAAAAGGGGGGTCGCTGGCCCGGGCTGGGGTTGGGTCTATGTGTATCGGCTATGTCACGAGGTCTGCAACAAGGTCTGTAACGCAGAGGCAGTACGCAAAGCGCCTCCGCAGCTTCAGCTTGATTGCAGCTATTCAACGCAAGCCAAGCTGCGGCAAAGCGGGCAGTCACTGGCCCGGCTTGCTCATCTGAGGTGTGTAACGAGGGTGTGTAACGAGGGGTGTGTAACGAGCCAGCGGGTCTTGTTACAGAGGTCTGCAACAAGGTCTGCAACGAATGTCCGCCGCGGCTCTGTTACAGACCCCTCGAAAAAAATCACTGCCACATAACATGATACAACGTAGAATAGTATTGAACAATCGCAAAACATAGCAACATATAGCATAACATAGCTTGGTAAAACATAATACAATATATGAAAATATAATATAGCATAGTATGATATAGCATACTATAATATGATTTGTCTCATGCTGGAGTATGCTGCTGATTACTCACTGCTTCAGAATCACACGCTGCAGCGTCTACAATTGTCTCCAGGCGGGACGAGAACCCCTTCTTGCTATCAATAAGCGTTCCCCTAATGATTCAATCCCTTCCAACCGACCTCAACATTTCGCAAATATTAGTTCAATATTCCCCAATGCTAAGCCAAGAATTGAACTCAGCCAAGCTGCCCAGATGCGCTTATTAGAGGCCACCCTAGCACTGATCAATCAGGCTGCCTTGTGTGAGCGGTTTTATTATTAGGGCTCCATCAAATTCCCTTCATAAGGTCTTACGCAACTGAGCGCTTGTTTCTCAAATACCAAACGGTTGCTTTGCGGGAGAGATTTCTTGTTGAGAAAAAAAGGGCACCTTTGCCGTAAAAAATATCATGGTGCATGAGCAAAGAGACATCATGGCAGCTTGTAATTAGCAACCACAGGCCACTCTTATAGAATTGTTACTCTGACCCTTCATGAGACGCATCAGCTCCCGCAAACTGTTCCTACTTCTTGCCGAGGGGCGAGCAAGATCGGGATGACCACCACCAAAGCTTTGGGAGTCGCTTGCAGCAGGAGGACGCCAAACTCCAACTCCAGGTCTGCAACAAATCTTAAGAACACAGTCCTGCCGCAGTCTGATTGCAATACAAAGCGAAGCCGTCTGCCACAAACAGGGAAAAAGTCATTGACATGCATTCATCAACTCTCCTGGTCCCTGCCCGACCTTCGATTTGGACTTGCAGCATCTTGGTGAGGTGGAACAAACAAGCGCGTTCTTGCTTCGGCTGTCAGGCACTCACAAAAGGACTATGCCACATGTAGTCGCAAAGCAATCTTCCGTGGCTTTGGTGCAGGCAGAAAGTCCATTACTTCAAGCTTGGCTTGCACTCTTGACCCGTGAACAACTTGCGGTGTTGCAAGTGAGAATAGCAGCAGCCATGTGCTGGTGCGGAGGGCGAATCAACGACGCATCATGGCATTCCAAAATGGCTCGGAGGGCCGCATCTCAACTGTGGTCTCACTCCAAGCATCCCGCAGCAAGAGTTGGCAGACAGAGAACATACGGTTCCAAGGACCTCATGGAATGCGCATGCATAATGTCTCTAGAAAACCTGGCATTCCAGGCCACTTGCTTCCCGCTTTCACAGTGTGGAATTCTTCCTGTTCTGTGTGTGCTCGTGGAAAGATACTGAAGCGAGATGGCGAGGGGTCGAAGATCAGTCAGGCCGTGAGGCGAGGCAAGTGCCGGTGAGACCTGAGGAAACTCGGACTGGTTGAGCCAATTGGAGTGGAGAGAGCAAGGTGAGTCAAGAAGAAAACTGAAATATAGCTGAGACATTGCGGGGCATACAGGAAGATAGATATCGTTTATGAACCCTCTCCTGAGGTTGATGTTCGTGAACAAGAGGCGCCGGCAGTATCTCCTGATTAGAGACGCATAGAATATGCTGCCCCACGGCAGAAGGCCAAGAACGTAACCTGAGCAGGTTCTCAGAGCCCGATGAGCAGTTCACAAAATCGGCCACGATTTAGCAAGAAATCCGAAACAAATGGCTAACATGGACAAATACGACACATGTTCGATGGCAAAGACCAACCACGTGTGCCATTTCTTGAGACCTTTTTGGGACCTGAAAGGAACTTCACACACATCAGATCAAACTCCGAAGGACCACTTGCGACACGCCCTTCTTTGTCGAGTCACAGCCTGCCCCGAACCATGGTGAATTTGCCATCCTTAGTCTAAGAATGTGCAAGCCACGTTAACATGCTTTCCGTAAGCAATGCATACCAAGTTTCAAAACGACAAATCCAAAACGGCTCCGAAAGCACCCCTTTCATCGACGCAATGCTGGTCGCCTTGCGGAGGATGGCTAGAGATTTTGATAGGTGCTCGTATCTCTACTGGACGATGGTTCCCGGGCGCTAAGCTCACCCGTCCCTTTGCCAATGAACAGGCAGAATACACATCGAACATGTCTTGCCTCGAAAGAGCGCAAAGCTCGGATCTGGAAAGAAATGGGAAGAAGTCAACTCCGTTCATTTGGCCGAGGCTCAGCCAGGCCCAGCGGACGACGAGAGGCCAGTGGTCTCTCAAACGAGTCGCCCGCTGATCCGTCTGGCCGCCAAAGCCCTGAAGTCGTCTGGAAAGACGGGTAATTCGAAAATGCTTGGGTTCTCTTTGGGTTCCCTTTAACACCAACACCAACAACCATGAGGGGATCCTTAACAAAAGGCACAGCCACTTGGAGCAACATCAGGATCATATTCTTGACATTGGGCTAGGAAATGCTAGGAAGCATTGATGTATGTCTCCAACAATATGTATATTCGTGCCCGCAAGCCGGGATGCAACAAGGGGTAATGCCTGCCTTGTTTGAACTTAAACTGTCAACACAGTCCAAGGCTTTGTATGGACAATGGTGGTGTTCTCATGGATAGAGACCCTTGTCCTTGAGAATGACATCGTAACTAAAGGTTCACAAATCCCTCTCAACGCCTGCTAACCCGATCATTGATTCAATCATGATGCAGTTGTTGTTGTGGTGGCGATCGCTGCAGTGAGCCTGCCCTTTCCTCTTTGCTTGTGCCTTGAAAAGACCAGATTACTGCGGACTGGAACAACAATCCAGAGAGCGGGGCAAATTGCTATCCCCAAACAGGAACTGAGGGAACACTTCAGTAAAGAGCCTTCATCATGACTGAACAAGGCAAGTTGTGCAAAAAGATCTCGGCAGGCTTGTGGGGACTTCCTTTAATAAGTAAACAGGGGCCTAACCAACTCGACAAGCATTTCGGAAACCACATTTACTCATGATAGGAGTACACTAGGAATCATTCAGGCCTTGTACTTACCTGAAGCCAAATTGATCTGGAGCTCCAAAACGGATGCTTTTCGATGAGAGCTCTAAGAACGTCCTCGCCTGGGAGAGGCTCCAAATGGACCAGCCCATCAACGGCACCTCCAGCGCCCAGAAGACCAAAAAGGGCGCGGCCAGCCGCCACTGGATCCTCAGAGCGATTCGCGACGCTTTCCCCTCACTCCCACGCGTGCCCTTTCGTCATTGCTCGAAGTCGGCTTGAGGCTTGGGGTATCAAAACGGCAATGAGTGACATGATTGAGTTCCTCAACGTTGGGCCGAACGACCCACGCAGGGATCTCCGGGATTAAGTTCCACTGGGTAAGTGCCACTTGAGCTTGCTGCACAATATAACATTGTGTATCAGATAGCACTCGCGTGTGCTGACACTTTCTGCCTTGAAGATGATACTACATATGACTGGGAACGGGTCTTTGGTCTTTCACATGCACCCATCTGCAATGCACACGCGCCCTTCCATAAACCCCCAAGCCACTGCCTTCAGGCCAAACAGATTGAACGGATGGCAAGAAAAGGAGGGATGTCCCACAAAAGGTAGCACACAACTCCACACCAAAGGCACATTCTCAATAGCCCGGGGCCAAAGCAACACTAAAATCCCAACACTAAACATGACTTACCGGATGGGCGGGCCCCCCTTTTTCCCCACCCTGGGCCCCGTTTGAGTGTCAACTTGTCAGAAGCGAATACTGTCACCTCCCTGTGCGCTGAGGCTCTTTTTGTAGAGCCCCCAACACTTCAGGTACCGCTCCTCGCCAGGCATTGAGCGGTGCACGCACCGCTAAATGCGACTTTGGCATGTGCTTTTGTGTCAAAACAAGGGACCGCAGTCTGAGTGGTCTTAAACCAACATCTTGATATATGGCCGGCCACATCAATCAATCAAGCACCTCCCACGGCTTTGGCGTGAAGTGGACGGAAGGCAAACTACTCTACTCCTCCGATGGATAGAGCATGCAGAGTAACGACATGACATGCAGTTTAACTCTTGATCGTTTCCTTCTTCCCTGCTCGACATCCCCCATTCGCATCTGCCACGCAGTTGCCCTTTCCCTCTCTTCCGCCTTCCGCACGTCTCTGCCGTCCTTGCCTTTCTTTTGCCTTTTTTCCGCCCCATACTCTCTGACCCTCAAGAGCCTGGAACCGGTAAAGGTCCGTCTCTTTGATGTTCATGCCCGCGGGGTTCGCCGCCACGACCTGCGGTGCGCGGTAAACCCCCTCCCTGTGCTTCCCGTCAAAGGAGTCCGATGGAGGGGTCGCACATCCCTCAGTGCGATGAATACCGGCTTCTTGCTGAACCGACAGCAAATCCACAATGCTTCAAGGCCAAGGTTTTCCAAGAAGGGCGGCGAGGGGGATATGGTTCAGATTCCCATTCTTCCCACCAATCACCATGTCAGCCAATTGTCGGCATCGAAAAAGCACCAAGAAAGTGGCAATGCCGGGGGGTATAGCTAATGATTCGATGTGTCGGCATCAAAAAAGCACGAAGTGGGTGGCAATGGTAGCACACAGCCTTCTTGTCGGCACAACAGTCAATTGTTGGCCAAGGATTGCCGTTTTGCCAACTTCTGGAGTGAATTCACTGCCTGCAGGCCGGAATGGGCAATATCTGAATGCAGCTCGTTGAAGCTGGAGACCAGACCCATGAAGAAGAGCTCCTGTCGACTAGCCAAGTTGACGCCGAGTGCACCAACTCAGCATGTGTTGCCTGGAACATTCCCATCCCTACTTTGACCCAACACCCACGCATCTTGACTGTGAATTTCATACCCGGAATATGCTGCGATTCTATCATCCTTGTTTGCCTACGCAATCACTGCTGCTGTTGGAAGCTCACTGTAGCACTTGGCCGGAGACTCCGACGCAACAGGGGAAGGCTGTCGCGTGAACAGGGGCCAGCCACATAATTTTGCTTCCAGAACCGCTTCGCGCTACAGCTGCTGGTTAGCTTCCCACTGCCAAATGCGCTCTCTTGCTCAAGCAACAAGCAACCCTGCCTGCACAGTGAAGACGACGGATAGCACGCAGAAGAAAAGCCCAATAGCCAGTGGCCAAACCAGAATAAAGGCAGCACCATGAACAAAGCCGATGACCCCGAAGGCCATCAGCACATCGGAACCGCCATTCGTGTTGCGATCAACATAGTACGTGGAGAAGAACCTGATTTCAGGCAAGCCGCGGCGTCAAATGCGCTAAGGTACTATCATTTGCAGCTTCACAAAGGGTCAAGCAACAGCGACGACGCATGCCCTCTGGGTCCATCTGCGCAAGGGCGAGTTTGGGATCTCCATAACTTGTAGAGCGCATGCCAATCCGCAGTGACATGCAAACACACGCAAAACAAATACACGCATACAAAAGCAAATCCCCTTCGTGCTCCTACAGCTTCACCTTTCCCCTAGTTGGTGGTTTGGATTGTGAAGGGGAACCCTCCCGTTGGCGTCAAAATGCTCTCCAACAGGAACTGGGGTTCAAACATCTAAACCACAATCCAAACCACCAACTAAGGGTTGCCTGAAGCTTGGTTGTTTCTTGGTCATCAGCAAGGGGAGTTGGTCGAGGCCATCTAGCGCCTCTACCGGAACAGAACCATGACTGGTGAACAGGCAAGCGCATTTCAAGGGCGTCACGGAGGGCGCAACGGACTGACACCTTGAACACCAGCTCAAGATACCGCTCTGCACATCTCTGCACAGTTGAGTCAGGCAGCCCGGGCAGATAGCCAACCATGCCCCAGATCGCCAGCAGCGCGGTCAGGCACATGCCGCTGAAGGCCAAGCGCCTGCATACTGCATTGCGCTTTGCTTTCCCTTTAAACCAACCCCAAAAGAGTACCCTGAAAAGAATACACTCCCATGTATGACGGGCCTGTGCTGCCTGTACCTAAGACATCCTTAAGCTTAGTCAAACCTTGACTCCTAGCCTCCTAGCATCGATCTCAACGAATAAGTATTTCGCTGCGGAAAAAACACAAAACAAAGCAACAAGCAAAACGTGTGAAGGGCATGGAAACAACATCCATGCCCCACTTTGGTGTCCGAGAATCTTGAGGATACGCCGCAGCCGTTGCGCCTGGGACGCAATATGCAATCTGGTTCTTCGCAGACTGACTCACCTGATCCCACTAAGGCAGTGACCTCGTGAATACATTCAATGTGATTCTGCAGCAGATCATGCAGCAAATTGCAGCGGAGGACTCGTAGCCTCAGCTACAAGGGAACTTTCAAGCGAATTCGCAGTGGACTCCAATGGGTGTGGGCTTACCTCATTTCAGCTGTGCTTTTAACATCCAGATTTAAGGTGGACAGCATTGTGTTAACGACGGCGTCTTTTTCACAAACATCTTCCTGCCAATGCACAAGGCACCGACGCAAACACTGCGCCAGCATGTCGCATTGTTCAGCAAGCTGGTTGGCTTTTTGACAGGCAAATACGGATGAACAAGACTCGCGGCTCCCTTGCACTTCAATTTGTCCCTTCTCCTGCAACTGCCGGGCATGGTTCTCCAGCCGCTGCTGCTCACACCACGGGTGGGCACTGGCAAAAGCTACTCTTTCCGTAGTATTTTGGGGGTCCAGGGCTCTCGACATCATACCGTCCGAGGGACGTGACGGCCATCAGCAGCAGCAGCAAAGGCGCAAAAACGACCATCTGGGCCACCGCCAGGTAATCCAAAAATCCAGGTCCTGGCAAGACAACCCCTCCAAAAATGTGTCTTTTGTTGAGGATTCCTTTTTGCTGGCATTGAAGGAAAACCAAAGGGACAACCGTTTCGCCATTTTGGGGCTCCGAGTGCTACAAAAAGACACACACAAATTTGGCCCAAAG